TTGTAAGGAACTCGTGGGCTATTTAAAAGGTGGGAGAGGTGATCGCTTGCACTCCAACAATCAATTTTGTCACTTATAAGGATGGATGTGCTCAAATATGAGTCACAAAGGTGTTTGGATACCGAGGAGTTCGGGTAGAACCGATTTAAAAATGGTAAAATGAGAGAGAACATATTTATCATTGAAAGTATACAATTGCATTACTTTTAAATGATACCAAAAGTGAACTTTTACAGTAAAAGAGAAGAAATGATAATTGTTGAATGGAGACAGAGACGGATTGGGGGGCTGGGCTGGGCTGGGTTGTAGTCCCCCAGGCCCAATAGCTTTTTTTTAAGGTATTTTTTATTTTTTTTTGGTAAAAATCAGTTTTTTATATGTAAATAAAAATTTTTCCAGCGTAGTAGCCGGGTTTGAAATTTTGTAGCCCAATCTTGGATCCAGTCCTAGATCCGTCCCTAAATGGAGAAACATGTGACCTCATCTTAACGGTCGAGACGCCTTATCAGAAACGTCATTCTGTCAATACTAGATATGGGTGCATTTAATGCTTCTAACCATTAGTCACCTTATGGCCTAAACTTGACATATGAAGGCAAAACATCACAAATTGACTTAGTAGAGAATTGTCGTACAGAGGTCACATCAATCATTCAAAAACAATTTTTGTACAGAGATCTACTAAAAACGTGCCCCCGCGTACTTAGAGATCATTAGCATTTGATTGGTGCTGCAATGCTTCTCATTGCCTTGCTTCATCCATTGAAGTTCGATCTCTCCATGGGGTTCGACAAAAAACAAAAGCTCAACTACTCAAGGACCTTGGCTAGGCCATATAGGACAACGATGTAGAATGTACGACGGTTCGATAGTAACGTGATTGTCGCGTGGCCATCTTTTGAGGCCTCTTCGGACGAGAGACCTCTCAATTTTTTTTTTAATCAAAATTTACTAAATTCTAATTTTAACCAAACCAAATAAGAGCTTAGTATTATTAAGATTGAAGAATTATTCTATATCCTTCATCACAAAAGTGATTCGTTACCTCATAAATGTGGAATCTTAAGGTTCATTTGGTTTGTATTTCAATTCTTAGTTTTGAATTTATTTTTAGCATTTTGTTTTGGGAGTCTATTTTAAGATTACTAAAAACACGTTTGATTTGTCATTATGAAAAAGTATTTCTCAAAACAGAGAACTCAAAAACACGTTTAGTTCGAAATTTTAAATTGTTATATTACATTTATTTTAAAAATTTTGATTATTCAATTTCATGTCAATATATTATCATGTAAGAGATACATTTTCAAGTTGATAAATTTTATAATATTGTTTCCTCTACAAAAATAAAATAAAATAAATAATAAACGAAGTTGGCAAAACATAGGAAAGAAAGTATAAAAATTAATGACGTGGACCAAGAAATTTATTTGTTTTCAATTAAATATATTATTTTAGATTTTTTATGCAAAAATCACCAAGAGCTTAAACTATTTTGTTTTCATCTTTTTTTTTTTTTTCAGAATTTTATCTTTTCAAAATTATTATTTTTTAAAATCTTAGAATTTTTACATTTTATAATCTTATGTTTTATTCTTTAAAAAAATTTATTTTTGTATTTTAAGAATTTATCAAAAAAATTCAAAAATTTATTTTTTATTTAATTTTTAAGATTTTATATTTACATTTTTTTCAAATTTTTAAGTTTTAAACGATAATTTTTCATGAAATCAACTCAAATGTCAAAAGTGCTTTCTGAATTTTACAATACAAGTTTTACATCGTTTTTGAAAATATAAGACCAAATAAGTTTTGGGTGTTTTAAAAAATTGAAAATTGAAAATTGAAAATAGATTGAAAACAAGAAATCAAATGTATTCTTGGGCGTTTGAGAGCCATTTTTATGTAAAAATGTATTTTAGAATAGTAACTTGATGGGAAGTGTGTGCTTGAAAAATAAGGAAAAGTTTTTTTATTTACGTGTAATATTATTTTAATAAAGAATGTGTGGTTGAAAAGAAGAAAGAAAAGATGCATTTTTCAAGAAAATAGGTACCAAACGGGGGCTTATTTTTCTTAGGTTATGCTAAAAGATGCTAAATGTTATCTGGGTCGAAGTGATTGAACAAAAAACAGCTCCCCACCCCTTTTATTTTTAATGAGTTAGTCTACACGTACAGGATATTTTTTTTTACAGAATTAGTACAGAATACACACATGCAGAGGTGGGTGGGTTATTTTTTGTAATATTTTAATTCATCCCATCAGAGGGTCTGCAAGGTTTCTGTATTTTTTCTATACAATCAGTACCATTTTTAATAGACTATTTAACTATTCAAATTGAACATTATAATCAACTTTGTTTCTAAGACTCAGTTTGGTTTAGATAAAAATTACATTTTTAGTATATTTTTATAAAAATTCATAAAATGTATTGACAAGTTGTGGATCCTATAAAATGTGTGGTGAAATTAATTATTGATTTTGACTTAAATTTTAATCAAAAAATGTTTTTTTTTAACTTTAATCAAATATGTACTAAGCAACTATTTGATTAGATAAAAATTAGATTCTTTAGATTTTGATAAAAATTGATTAAACGCGTGGTTCAAAATTTGTAAGTTATAGAAATGTATAGTTAAAATTAATAGTTGACTTTGATTTGATCAAATTTTTGACATGGGCTAAATATTTTTGTGTGTGTCATTAATTTTTTTATTACTTATGAGTGAAATGTGAGTCATTAATTTTTTTTCTTACTTATCAGTGAAAAAGGTGATTGTTACGAAATAAGTAACCTAACTCTTAGCCAACACAAAATATTTATTTGCGAACTTATAATTTTTAAGCTTAGCGAAACAAGCACTTAGTTTCCCAACTTAAAAGTATTTTTTGTGGTAATTTACAAAACTTTGAACTACTAAGCACCATAATAGAAATTTTATAAGCAATAAAGGCAGTTAGTTTAGACCTACAAAGTCCAATTATAGTTATATTATGGATAATAATCCATGCCATGTGAACTTTTGTCTACTATAGTAATTTAAAGTTTAAAGAAATGTTTGACGTTTCTCAATAGGTAGAAATAAGTAGTCAAGGCATTTAGAAGATGATTTCTCTCCCACAATAAATGTAAATTATACTTTTAAGAGTTGACAAATGAGTTAAATGTTTCGTTACGCATTGAAATTTTATTTTCATCATGTTTTACTCACTGAACTTTAAAATATTGTACTTCATCACTCACTCACCAAGTTGTCATGCATTTATCATCCAATGTGGATAGATGGAATCCTATGTGTCAACAAACAGAATTAGAAACCCTAATCATCGAACACATATAAAAGCGAGAATGATGAATGGACACCACTTTTGTGAAGCTCAGTGAGTTATGGAAAACATTATGAAGTTCATTGATCACATTAGAAGTTCAATGAGTATGAAACATTTCAAGTTGATCATAAATTTTTTTTTTGTCTCATTTAATCACTAGAGTTAATTAACATTACACAAATGATCGCTCAATTAGTGAAGTAGTGTTGAATCGGTAAAGTGTATTTGTTTATGTTGCGTTGTGACAATCTAAATGCAAAATAAATGCTTCTTCTTCTTCTTCTTCTTCTTCTTCTTGACACAAGTGCAAGATTCCTTCCTAAGCCGTCACATTAGCTTATAAGCTCGAAAAACACCACAAATGTTGAGCTTGAAAAATGGGATTTATTTTTATGAAAAAGAAGTTAAGCGATAAGCACGAATATATAAAAGGCATTTTCGGTAAACTTTCACTTCGATTTTTCTAATTATAATAAATGGATTCTCAAAGGTACTTTACTTTTACTTATGAGATGGTATATCCTTTTATAAGCTCCACTCAAACATGGCCTCTACGTAATTAAGTGATAAGGGTTAGTGTTAAGATTAAATGAGAGACGAATTTAGAAAATCTTAACAACAATTGGGTTTGAATCCCAGCAAATGAAATTGGCAATTGTGTATATTGACGCCATTTTGCCAGATAAACATTTTATGGGCTTCACGTCAAATTCCTTGTTACTTTCACTAAATTATATGGATCATAATGTTATATAACTTATCGATGAAATGAGAGGAAAATACTTTATAAGAACACAATGCGAAATTTCATACAAACTTAAGTGAATATTTATGAAATTAAGCCCTTGTTTGAGCACCATTCTTTAGAAAAAAGTGCATTTTTCAATAGTATTTTAATTAACATCATTTCAACTGCACATTCTTCAATTAAATAATATTATACGCAAATTTAAAACTTTTCATTATTTTTTAACCACATATTTTCCATCAATACAGTATTCAAAAATTCATTCTTTTCCCCAAAATGGGGCTCAAACAATGGCTATTTTAATACTTCTATGATATCAAATAGTAGATAGAATGGAATTATAAAATCTAAAATTTCATCAACTTAATTAGCATCATTCCAACATATTTTTCTAATTAATACATCTTTAATTTATATAATTACTTATCAAAATAACATACCTACAATTTTTCCTGAAACTACATCTAAGTGGAACCCTAATCCTGAAGCACCTAAATTGCCCTTTTAAACCATCTATAACTACACAGTTGCCCAAATTATTCTTGAAACCCTAAACTCTACCCAAAGATTCAGGTTTCCTCTTTATATTTTGGAGGTTAGTCTACCTGTTTATTCATTATTTTATACAGGCTTAATCAGTTAGAAGTTTCTTGTCTATTTATTTATATCTCTAGCATGCATTATGCACAACCAACTACATTTTTTTATTTGATTGTGAAATGAATACAATATTGTCTAATGTGTCTGGAAGAATTATATTTAATTAGGTCAATTAAGATAAAGATTGAAGAATTGCAATCCGAGGTCACATATCTGAACCTAAAGTAATTAAGTTATCATTCTCGACCCATATGTAACAAGCTACACCAAGAAAGACATAGCACTCGGCAAATGTTAGAGTGGAATAAAAAGAGAAGGATTGGGCAAACCATATACTTTTTAATCTAAACATATAATAGAAGGAAAAGAAAATTTTAATATACATAGGGATTATGCTTTCATTTCTCTAGTACTATACTTCCTTATATAAATAAACTGGTTTTTAATCTCATACGTAATTAATACTACATAGAGTATATGATTCTTCAATTTACAGTCTCTTATTTCCCTTTTTCTGATAGCCTCCTTCTTGTTCTTGTTGTCTGATCTTTCATGAATCAGAAACAAAGGTGATCTTGACTTTCACTTTGATAATCTACTGGATCAATAGGGAGGCCGGGATGGTGCCGGCCAAGCATATACATCAGGATTCAATTGGCCACCGTTTGGTAACAAATTCGGATTTAAATTGTAAATTGACAGTGATGAAGGATCGGGTATCCCATGCTGATGTTGCCCTCCACTAGATCCAATTCCAGGTACCTGAGCCCGGCTGGATCCTTCAGCTTCATCATCTTCTTCTTCCAGAGGCAATCTTTCATATGTCGCATTAGAAAAAGTGGCAGCAATGACCATAACAGGCCCGGCTGCAACAAGTGGCCCTATTACACTCCCGCCCACCACCTGCCCCTGACCACCGGCTAAATACACCGTGAGTCCAGTCGCACCCGGAGGGGTAGGACCAGGGAGGAAAGCCCCATTTAAGGACAAAATTTCAAACCTCCCTTGAAGAACCACAGCAGCACTAGGTGCAGCCGGCTGTCTTATGGTCACGTTGGCTACTAAGCCACTACCACTTAGCACACACACGCCGCGTTGACGCCTTCTGGCAAACTGGGCTATGCTTTCTGCGACATCAGTGCCACCAGCTACCTCCATTACATGGCTGCGAAGCGCGTTAGGGCTATCCTGAGTTACATATATAGGCGGTTTAGGTTTGTTCTTGGATCCGGGAGGCCGTCCTCTAGGCCTACGAGTGCCTACCTCAACAGAAGGATCATCTGCGTTGTCTTTTTCTTCATCGTCATCTTCTCTTGTACTGATTCTTTCTCCAAATCTTTCGTTCCTTGGTAGCTGATTCCTGTTGTGAATAAACATCAGAACTGAAGAAAATGAAGGAAAAGATAATAATTGGTTGATCTTTCCTTCCTTGTAAATTTCTTTGTTTACTAAATCAAATTCGAATAATTAATGCACCCCCGAAATTGATCGGAATGTCTATGAAAATCTTATGAGATCTACCCTCTACTTTTCCATATAGATAGAGAGATAGAAAGAGAAGGAGTTGGTGATTTTGAAAGGAAGGAGATCCAGATATTAAAACCAAGAAATCTAATAGATCATCTAGTGGAGAAACACAAAGGAACGATGCAAAAGGAGAAAAAAAACTGAGAAAATCAAAACCCGCAAAGAGAATCACACATCAAACACGAGAAAAAAAATAATAAAACAAAGCAGGTGAAAAATGAATATTATTTTGCACAAGAAAATAAAAAGTATGAAAGTTACATATTACTTTTCTATGTTTCAATAGGCTCAAGTATCAAATGAGGGTCTAAAGGTTTTGTCTTCTTTATAGTCCTCTCCCTGGTTTTTTCCAAGAAAATTAGGGTTTTTTAATGGTAGGTTCACATGCGTGTGGGCGGGTTGGGGAGCACGTCGCTGTCCCGTGTTCCAACATATTTAACGGAGGTGGACCGTGGACCTCTCTATTCAACATTTCATATATGATATGCAAGTTTCATTTTCGTGCTTACTATACACGTACATAAAATTATTATTTTTGATACAAAAAGATAGAAAAAAGAAGAAAATAAAGAGAAGTTAATAGATTTATGTGTGTTTTATTAAGGATTAAAGTCCTATATTTATAGAGCAGAATCAAGGATATGACGGTAATAATTTTCAGGGTTATAGGGGTACAATTATCATTCTCTTGTAAATCCTAATAAACTTACCATTTACAACACTCCCCTTTGAATGTCTCATTACAAAATATTTGCCTTGTTAAAATCTTATTTGATAAAAATATAATGAGACAAAGAAATTAAACGAATGAAAAAGAATACATTTATTTTGGAGCATTAAAAATAAATGCCGCATCATTAAGACCTTGTTAGGAAGACCCGGTAGTTTAAAACCTAAGTGAAGGAAAAATAGTACAGCTACTCTCATTAATGTTGATCACTGAAAATCTTTAAATCGATGCGTTCCAATCTCATGAACTAATTTCTTGAATATAGATGTTGACAGTGTTTTATGAATAAATCAGTCACATTGTCACTTGAGCGAATTTATTGAATATCAATGTCGCCATTTGTTTTAAGCTCATGTGTATGAAATTTTGTGGAGAAATATACTTCGTCCTATCACCTTTGACATAGCCTCATTTGAGTAGTACAATACAAACTGTATTATTTTCATACAAAATTATTGGACTATTTTTTATTGAAGTTAACTTGTACGATGCTTGGATATGATGGATCTCGTTCTTCAACCATACACATTTTAAGTCTGCTTTATGAATTCTAATAATTTTAGAATAATTTGAGGATGTTGCTGTCAAGGATTTCTTCATAGATCTCTATGATATAGTTGTTCCTCTACATATAAACACATATTCCGTTTGTGATTTAATTTTATATGGGTTAAAGAGATAACCTGCATCTGTATATTCTACTAAAGTAAATCCCGACTTTTGAGAACAAAATAATCTCAAATTAATAGTGCCATTTAGGTAACAAAAAATATGTTTAGCACTATTTCAATGTCTTTAAGTTGGTGTAGATGTATATTTTGCAAGGAGATTTACAGAAAAAGTTATGTTGGGTCGAGTGCAATTTGAAAGATAGGTTGATACTCCAATTGCACTAAAATATAGTGTTTCAGGACAAAGAATATTTTCTCCATCTTCAAGTGGATAAAATGGACATTATTTCACATTAAGTGATTAAACAACCATAAGTGATGACAATAGATGTGCATTGTCCATAAAAACGTTTTAAAGCTTTTTATATATACGTAGATTGATGAACAAATAATTCTTCTGGGCAATGTTCAATCTGCAACCCAAGACAAAATTTGATTTTTCCAAGTCTTTCATCTCAAATTCATTTTTCAAATAATCGACAATTTTGTAAAGTTCTTCAGGAGTTTCAATTAAATTTAAATTATCAACATAAACTGTCACAATTACAAATCAAATATTTATTTTCTTTATGAAAACATATTGACAGACATCATCATTTTTATAATCCTCCTTCAACAAATACTCGATAAGGCAATTATACCACATGCGTTCAAATGTATCAATCCATATAATGATTTTTGTAATTTAATTAAGAACGTGACTTTCGGGCATGTATTATTTGCTTCTGGTACTTTAAGTCCTTCAGGGACTTTCATATATATATATGTCACTATTAAGCGAACCATACAAATAAGCAATTACTTTATTCATAAGGCACGTATCAAAGCTTTGTAACACATTTAAATTAATTAAAAATTTAAAATTGATGGTGTCTATTATGTGGAGAATATATTTCCTCATAATCAATTCTTGATCTTTGTGAGAAACCTTGAGTTACGATTCGGGTTTTGTATCTTATAATTTCATTATTTTCATTTCTTTTTCATATAAAAATCAATTTGTATCCGACAAGAATTACATTTTTAGGTTTTCGAACTACTGATCAAAACACTTTTCATTTCTCTAAAGAATTCAATTATGTCTGTATTGCTTCTTTCATTGATAGATCTATGATTAATTTTTTTTGGAATATTAATTATAATGTTGTATTATTTCTAGAGCAACAACGTGATAAATTATTAATTTAAAGTTTATAGAAAAATATTTAATTACTATATAGACATGATATGAATTTTTAAAGAAAAATAATTACAAAAAATTTATAAGAAAAAAAATCTTCCAAACATGCATGTAAATTGACTTCATGTATAAACATGCAAATAAAACACGGTAATCATTATCCATATATAGTGATAGCAAAAACACCTGTCCCGCCCCGCCTCGAAAGGGGCAAAAGAACTCACCTCGAACAGGGCGGGCGGGGCGATGCGAGGCCGGGATGCCAACCCCGAGCTCACCTCGTGAAGGGAAAAAAAGATAAAAAATAATTTTATTTCTAGACAATTCACCAATTAAAAATTAATTTTGAATTTGTATTTTATTCTCTAATAATGACATAACTAGAAATTTTGAAAATATAAAAAAAAATAATAATAAACGGGACAAAAAGTTGCCTCGCCCTGTCTAAGGCAGCGTAAGGCGAGGTTTGGGTGAGATGGGGCAGGGTGGGGACGCCCTATACCGATCCCGCCCCGTTGCCATCCCCATGCATATAATGAAAAAATCATTATAATTTGCATACAAAGAAAAAAGACTAGAAGAAGAAGCAACCTCGTTTTAATGCATATGTATGTAAAAAAATTCACGTGTCACCAAATTAATTCTGGTACACGTGATAAATATTTATGCTTATAAAAAATTGCTACATTCACTAAACTTTGAAAAATTAAGCTACCATGCTAATAATGTGTTATGAAAAGAGATAATAGAAAAGAAAATAAAGAGAAGTTAATGAACTTTTATATGTTTTATTAAGAACAAAAGTCCTATATGTATATGACAGAATCAATGATATAACTGTAATAATTTCTAGGATTGTAGGGTTACAATTGTCATTCATTGTAAACCCTAATAAACTTATCATTTTCAACATTATTATTATTATTATTATTATTATTATTATTATTATTATTATTATTATTATTATTATGGGTTTTACATACATCCGGCAGACTTGTTATCTAGAATTTTTTGAACAAATATGGAGTTATTTTATTTAAGTTTTCTCGACTTTTGCATGAACAATCTTTTAAATTTGACTGCTTTGCCTCTTATTTTCACGTGGAAAAATATATTATTGATTTCTAGTATTGATAATAAAATTTGCAAGTCTTAGCTAGGAAGGTATCTATTTTTTATAAGCTCATTCAAAGTAGAGACAACACACGGTGGTTGTAAGTCAAACCACATTCGAACAGAAACGTTTTCCTTTTAGTTTTAGTTTATCGATTAATTAAAATCTCTTAGCAGGTTTGACATTATTTCTATCCTTGGTGGTGATATCTAATAGAAAGTTTACCATGGTTACATGTTTAATTATTGTGGTACTTGTATTAGTTGAAATCACAATTACAATCTATAGTTGTTTTTATCTACTTCTGAAGTTGAGTATGTTGCAGTCACAAAAGTAGTGAAAGAAGCAGAGTAGTTAAAAGGATTGCAAACGTTGCACTTTGGTGTCAAGTGGTTACTTGCTTCGTGTTACAATTCCTTTGGCATCAAGATGGAGATTTATTGGGCTATGATGTCAATCGATCTTGCAGGGTGATGATGAAATGAGCTGTTGACCCAAACTCCATATTTAACATTTGCCTGATAAACGGGCTATTCCAAAACTCAAATCAATTTGTCCATTCGCTGTTTAGATAAATGTTTTAATGCCACGTAGCCGCCACTACCACAACAGCACCACCAACAAAAGTCGCCACCACTAGATAGTTTGGACATCAAAAGAAGCAGGTTCCCATAGAGGCTCCTACCAAACTGTAGCAGTGGCGAGGGTGATGCAGCTGTTGGCGCTCACATCATCGATTATGAGGGCATCTCATAGCAGCGACAATGCCGATGCTCGACTCTCACATCAAGCGAGGCCTTGTAGCGAGACTAAGAGGTTATGCGATGCTATTGTGAACGATATTGTTGATGGACTGCAACATTGTGATGCTGTCGTTCACAGTAGCATCGACCAGCGATGCTGTTGATAACTCTCAACAACCCCAAATGCCAGCAACATCAGTCAAGACAGATCCTTCATCATCGGCCAGCACAAATCATTTATAGTCGATAGCCAGCGTTTGAAGAGAGAGAAGGCAGAGATGTAGAGAGAAGACGGGGAGAGAGAGAGAGGGAGAGAGAGTTATGGAAATGAATTAGAGTTTT